GGGGCTGGAGAGGTGGCTCTGTGGTTAAGAGAACTTCTGTCTTCTAGAAGACCTGAGTTCCTTTCCCACCACCTACATCAGTCAGCTCACAACCAGCAATAACTACAGCATCAAGGGATCTGACATCCTCTTCTGGCCTCTTCAGGAACACACACGCACACACGCACACACCAAATAATTAAATAAAACATCGATCTTGTTTTAAAAATGCTACTTTAAGGCCAGCTAAATGGCTTTTTGGGTACAAGCACTTGCTGCTGAGCCTGAAAACCTGTCTCAATCCCCAGGACCCACACTATTGAAAACTAACTCCTGAAAGTTGTTCTCTGACTTCCACAAACACCTGGTGGCACACACCCACGCATGCACACAAACACAAATGTGCTTTTTAAGTGCGAGGTCAAGTAGCTTGCATAGCATAGAAAAGGCTCTAGCTTCTATCCCCAGAGCTGAAAAAAGAAAAAGAAAGCAAATTCTGTTCAATTATTGGGTCATTCAAATATTAAAGGACAATTTATTTTGAAGCCTGTGAAATTATTTTTTGGTTTTCTTAACAAATTGATTTTTATAAAAGTTTTATTAATATTTTTTAGCCACCCAAAAAGCACTTGTAAAACAAACCCATAATGGTTTACAGGAGACAGAATTTTATCAGGAGCGGTTCTCCGGGGACTACTATCTCTTTGGTCTAAATTTCCAGTCATCTACCACCATAGCTATGTAACTCTCAGAATTTTTAATTTTTGATAGTATGTTATTGCTCAATTTTATGATACTTTCCTTATAAGAGTAGTTCTCAATCTTCCTAATGCTGAAACCCTTTAATACAGTTCCTCATGTTGTGGTGACTCCCAACCATGATTATTTTCATTGCTATTTCATTAACTGTAGTTTTGATACTGCTAAGAATCATAATGTAAATCTGTGTTTTCCAATGGTCTTAAGCAACCCCTGTAAAAGAGTTGGTCGACTCTCAAAGGGGTCATGACCCACAGGTTGAGAAATGCTGCCCTATACAAAGTGTAATAGAATACATACATTTACAATGATTGATTTAATTATCTTCAAAAAAGATACAAAGTAAAATTTAATTTTTTTGTTTTTTTGTTTTTTGTTTTTCGAGACAGGGTTTCTCTGTGTAGCTTTGCGCCTTTCCTGGAACTCACTCTGTATCCCAGGCTGGCCTTGAACTCATGGAGATCCACCTGGCTCTGCCTCCCGAGCTGGGATTAAAGGCGTGCGTCACCACCGCCCGGCCAATAGCTCAGCCATTAAAGGCTAGCCATTTCCCCCAAATCAAATTTGCTTTCTGTAACACTGCAGCAGATGCTGAGTTAGCAAATTCTGAGTCATTATCCCTAAAGGAAATACAGGTTCCTGCTAGCCTCTGGTCATATTTTCATAATCACCCCAATACATAGCCTCTTTTTTTTTTTTTTTTTTTTTTTGGTTTTTCGAGACAGGGTTTCTCTGTGTAGCTTTGCGCCTTTCCTGGAACTCACTTGGTAGCCCAGGCTGGCCTCGAACTCACAGAGATCCGCCTGGCTCTGCCTCCCGAGTGCTGGGATTAAAGGCGTGCGCCACCACTGCCCGGCTCATAGCCTCTTTTTTATATGTACTCCTACTTAAAGATCCCTATTTTATATTGTTGATTTATTGACATTCACTCATGGCCAATAGCAGTGTAAGTCATGCTGGAATGAACTTACCTAACACATTTTCTCCATTAGGTTTATCATAACCTCATACTTAGAGATCAACCAAGAATGCAAAGGACCTTGGGTTGGAGAGCTGGCTCAAGTACTGTGCAAGCATGAGGACCTGAGCTCAGATCCCCAGCACTCACACAAAGGCTGCAAGGCTGTGTGCATCTTTAATCCCTGTGCTATCTGCCATAGCTGATGCTCACCGGCCAGCTAGTCTGGCTTCAACAGCAAGCTCCAGGTTCAGTAAGAGGTCTCAGCTGAAAAAAGAAAAAGAAAAAAAAGAAAAGAGTAAGAGAGGGAAGGACTCCATTTTAACCTCTGGAACATGTGCACACATGCACGCACACAAAATTTTTTTGTTTGTTTGTTTTTCAAGACAGGGTTTCTATGCGTAGTTTCGTTGCCTGTCCTGGATCTCGCTCTGTAGACCAGGCTGGCCTCAAACTCACGGAGATCTGCCTGGCTCTGCCTCCAGAGTGCTGGGATTAAAGGCATGCGCCACCACCGCCTGACTAATTTATTTTTTAAAGAATGTAAAGCCCTACTTGTTCAACTTTAGCTGGTTCATTAGATTCACATTGCTACTCTGTATATGTGCATCTTCAAATGACCCAAAATCATCTTGAGTATTGATCTGGGGCTAAAAATAAATTTTGTGAAGAAGGCAGATTCATAAATACAGAATTGGCAAGAAATGAGGCTTAAATGTATAATGATGTGTCACTACCAATGACCCATGACCAGCTTTAAAAAGAAAAATTCTGAGCAACAGCAATATTACAAACCCTGCACCAAACGGTATGCTTTTGATACGATATATGTTATATATAAAGCAAGTGTGTTATCCTTTACTCCAGAAACCCTCCACATAGCTTAATTTCTGCTTTGAGGGCAGCTTCTGAGGACTATGCTGTTGTGGACCCTGAATGAGGGTAGGCACCTAATCCACATTTGTCACCAGAAATCAGCTATCACTTATTACTGTATAAATGAATGCCTTCCCACTAGGCTGCAATCTCCCAGATGGATTTCCCTCCTCCCTCGTCCTCCCTTTCTTCCTCCATTCTCTACCAGAACAAAACCGTTGCACAACACACTGATGAACTTTTGCTGAATGGATGAACAGAAATGGTTAACTATAGGACCTAAAGTAAGATGTGTATGATATCAAGAGACAAGTGGGAAATTTTAAATAGATTCTGCACAATTTTCCAAGCTAAATGTGCAGATTAGGAAGGGTATCGGATGCTGGTTTCTGGGCTCAGCAAAGGTGGGTACAACTGATACTCACCAAAGATAGTAAGATGTTTGAAAGGAAAGTCAAGTTCATTACATACATGCTATGGTTCTGTTAATAACCCCCAACTGACTAAAACAAAAACAGTGCCCAAAGAATTTCATACTGGAGACAACAGGACCATAAGTGAAGTACTAGAGTTTTAGCATGTAGAGTTTGGGGCCAAAATAACCTGACAGGAAGTCCCCACTTGTGACTTGGCCAGGACTGAGCTCTTTACTCAGGGTTAAAAACAGAGCCTAAGAATTGAGATGACAACAATGAGCAGTCACGAAGTTATTTTAAATGCTGTAACTAGGAGATTAAGTGTTTGCTAGATGAATGACCTATCTGATCATTAGGCTTTTCCGATCCCAATCTTTCGATCCACTGTCTACTGAACTACAGACTCTTACTACTTAGACTATTATATTTGATTCTTGAATACCCACATTTCCAGTATATTTAATGTTTTCAAAAATTAGAAATGGAGGCCCTTTCAATATTTAGAAAAAAACTAAACGATGGTATATATGGATTAAGTTGGAGGAGAGTAAATAATACTCTTAATTATCTTGATCAGAACATCTAATTGATATAAACCTAATTAATGAAATAAAAAATAATTACTGGTGAATAAATGCTATTTGTTGGGCAAACTTCCTTAAAATACGACTGAAATTTTTTTTAGCAACTCTTGTTCAAGAGTTTTTACACCCTGGTATGATTAAATCTGTAGCCCAATACCTTTACTGTTTTTCCAAATCCACGAACATTCTGAGATAACTATGAACACACGTAAAAAGGATGAGCTGAACTATAAAATGGCTGAGACAGAGCTAGTTAAAAGAAAACCACTGAGTTTATCGGTAAGCACGTGACTTAACTGATCTATAACCGGTCTTGGAAGTAATGGGCACATTAGTTTCCGGTTATCAGGAAGGTGGAAGCATATATTTCTCTCATTCTAAAACTGGTGATAAGAAAAATGCTTCTTAAGACAGAGGGGAGGGGGAATGCCATACAAAATGTCATTCTTTCTTAGCTAAATCGGGGACGGGGGTCATCGTGGCATACGTAAGCATCAACAGAATAGGACTTAAGAAACGCATTGACCCGTTAGCATTAGGCAGATTGTCTTAGGCATGCTCAGGAACGGTCTGGAGAAATGTGTAGTTATGGGCACATACAGCAAATATTAGAAATTGCTTCCCTAAATCATCTAATCCAGAAAACTACATTTATCTGAGTACCCGCAGGGGGTGGGGAAAACGAAGTCAAGCCAATTTGGGTCAAGAACACGACACTGTTCTAAGGGACACAGTAAGCTTGGCCAAAAACACACAACACTAGGTGCCCAACACCGAATTTCACAACACTCACGTTTTTAAAGGACAAGGGGCGGTCATAGTTTCACCATCCGCTCACCCACATTATTTTACACAGACACTCGGTAGGTAGAAATCAGCTCGAGAACTAAGGGCCCGCGCGCGGCCTGAGCTCATGCCCACGTGTGACCCGACAGTCTGCAAGTCCCAGGCGGCGGCAGCTCAGCACCCCGAAGGATGCTGGGCTCCCGCCGGGTCGCAGACGGTTCCGCAGCCTCGCCGCGGACACCCGCGCGGCCCTCGGGACACCTCCGCGCCCGCGCGCTCGCGCGACACTGTTGCGTGACGTCCACGCCCGGCGGCGTCAGGCCCCTCACTACACGGAAACAGGAAAGGACACGAGCTCCGAGGCCGTGGGCCAGCCACGGGTCTCGGTTACGCCTCGGCCCTCAAGGGAGCCCCCAACCCAGGAGCCATCGCCACAGCGGAAACAGCCCGGACGGCCAGCGCGAGGGAACAACAACCCTCCAACGCGCCGCGACGAGGCGCCAAGGTAAGCCCTACTGCCGCAGGAGCTCACTCAAGTCTCGCGAGATAGTCTCTACCTGGAGCCCCGTCTCCGCCGCCCCCGCCCCCGCGGCGCGTTAGCTCTGAAACATCGCGGGATTTCCGCCTCCTAGTCTCCGCCCCTTTACGGCACGATGGTCGCACAAGAATGTGATAGAGCCTCGACGGCCGCCATTTTCTTTCTTTCTTAGCAGTTAGCCGAGAGGGGACCTCCGCGAGGGGACGGCAGCGGCTGCTGTAGCGTGGGCATGGCCGACTACTCAACAGTGCCTCCGCCCTCGTCTGGCTCAGCTGGCGGCGGCGGCGGCGGCGTGAACGACGCTTTCAAAGATGCCCTGCAGAGAGCCCGGCAGGTAAGCGTGCAGCGCGCGGCGGCTCCCCGAGAGCCTCCGGTGGACTAGGCCCTGCTCGCCTCCCGGGCTGCTGCCCGAGGCGGCCATTTGTCACGGGGTCCCCGCCACTCGAGCCCGGCCTCCCCACGCGCCCTCCCCAAAGGCGGCCACGGGGCTTCCACTTCCGCACCGCGGCCCCTCCGCGAGGCACGCGGGACCCCGTCCCCCTCGAGTCTGCTTCCGTTTTACAAAGTGCTCGTCGTCGTGGGCGGTAGTGTGGAAGGGTCTGGGAGCTCGGTCGTGAGCAGGGCGAGCGCGGGGTTGTCTCCCTAGCGGTGCGCACCGCTTCCCGCTCGGCCGAGCTCTCCCTCACCGTAAGGTAGCGTTCACCTTCCCGTTTACCGGGGAGACTTCCTCGGGGCGGGATTTGTGCGTCATCCCACCAATCCTTTCTTCCTTCTCAAAATGGCCTCAGGCCCCTGCTACCTGAGCTTTCAGTTTGAATCTGCCTCTCCCGAGTCGAAGCCTGCGACCTCTTTGTGTTACGTAGGGACGTACTGTTGCCCTGAAGGCACCGCTTGACCCAGGTGAAAGGGGTCGAAAAACAAAAGTGCTTCTATTCGAAAAAATTTCCTTGTCAAGTCTGAATTTTTGTGTCCTCGGGTAGCCCTGCGATTTCTTTGTAGCTTAAAAATGTTCCATGTTGCCTCGCCGGGCATGATGGTGGAGGTCGGCTTTAGTCCCGCAGAGGCAGGCAGATCTCTTGAGTTTGAGGCCAGCCAGGACCACGAAAGGACTACTTGTCTCAAAAGTATGTTACGGAATTTGTATGTAAGCTAAAATCTTTTTATGGCACTCTATTGTAGTTGTTAGACATTTTATAATAGTGTTAAACAAATGGTTATTAAAGTCGGTTTTGACTCTATTAGGAGTTTATTTCCTAATTTTCTCCCCTCAGGACTGAAAGATTACTGAGTCAAAGTTTATTAGATCTACGGTGATATAGCAAACCACGTGTTGGGAGATTTACTAGTCTCTCTTAGTCACCTAGCATATTTAACTATCTAGTACATAGATAGTTAGTTTTATTTATTCATGGACAGGGCTCAGTGAGTGTCATGGTGTGTGTATAGAAGTCAGGATAACTTGAGGGAGTTGATTCTCCTACCATGTAGGTCCCTTGAGTCAAATGAGAGTGGGCAGGCTTAGAGTCTCTTTACCTGGCCTCTGAGAAAAATATTTTGATACAGGGTTTTTAAAGCACAGACTGGCCTGGGATTTAAGGCATCCTGCCTAAGCCTCCCTAGTGCTTACAGGTATGCTCCACTCACTTAGCTCTGGAACATTTTTTTAATCGTGTAATTCATATTACTGTTTTCTAAGGTGTGAGATAATCCAGGAATCGCATACCAATGAACAGAATAGCTAATGCTTTGATTAATAAGAAAATAAACATGACAGTTATGTAAATATTGGGGAGTGAGAGTTTGGCCAGGATAGAAAAGCAGCAACAGCCTGTACCAAAGGTTGGGGGTTTCTAGAATGACAGCCCAAGAGTTAAGTCAACTGGAGCATAGAATTGAAAATGAGGAAAACTACAGCTAGATTCAAAATGAAGAAGCTTTGGTTGTTAGCAAGCATTGATTGTGATAATAGGTGTTTATTATAGTGTCTATCTCACCTGGATTTGCAGTGTTCTGAGTATGCAGTAACTCCTTCAGGACCTTGCCTTGTATAAGGTACATGGTGTATTCAGCTGAATCAGTAAATATCCTTAGTGTATTATGATAGTAAGAAGATTAAGGTCTCACTGTGTAGCTCTGGCTATTCTGGAACTCACTGTGTAGACCAGGCCTGCCTCTGCCTTTGCAATTAAAGGTGTGTGCCACTCGTGCCCAGCTAAGGTTTTGTTTTGAAAATAATTTTCTTTTAGGGTGTATAGTCTGTGGCAATGGTGACTCCTAGAGATACAGAGGTATCCTTGCTATCCTGTTATCCTCCGAGACTTTTCTGAGTCTTTGGGCCTAAGCTTCCTGAATATGGAATTGGAGGCCTGCACTAGTATGACTGGTGGAAGCACATTTTTCTTTAAGTATAGTACAGCTGTGTCTTTGAGGATGGATAAAAATATTGTTAATTTTCCAAAGCACTTCTGAAGCCACCCCAAGACAGAGTTTCTCTGTGTAGCCTTGTAGTGTAGGCTGGCCTTGAACTCAGAAGTCCACCTGCCTCTGCCTCCTGAGTGCTGGTACTAAAGGCATGGGTCACCCAAAACACACTTTTGGAGTGTTGCTGTGGACCCTGCTTTAGAATTGAATTACATGTTGTGATGAATTAGTGAGAGTATGGTATATGTTAGGATCTGTACTAAACATGTCATGAGTTGGTTCACATAATCTTCGTAGCCATCCTCTAAGTGTGTAGAAGTTTCCCATTCATGAAGTTGTGATGATCAAAGCTCAGAATGCTTGAGGAAATTTAACAGAAACACAACTCTAGAGCACTAGAAGTAGATTTGTGCCTCCAGCTTTAGACTACTAAGGGAAGTATGGATATTTTCAGGTCATTATCTTCTCAGAATCATTCCACTCCAAAATGTGTAAGGATGGGTCATCAAGAAAGGTGATAAGTGCTGGTTTTGTTTGCAGTAAGAAAGTGCAAAAATCTAAGTGGGAAGCTTGAATTATACCTGTGGATTAAAATCAAAGACATTACCCACACTTGATATATGCTTAATAAAAATTTATTGTTGGTAGAGGTCGTAATTCCAACATGTGAGAAGTTGGGACAAGAAAGGCTAGCCTGGACTACAGAGTGAGACCATATTATATTGGGGGTTGATATTCAGGGATTTTTTTTTTTTCATCTTTGTGGTTACCAAGAAAATGAATTTCTAAAATTAATTTTGGAGAGTTATCTGCTTGGTGGTGTTCTGTTGTCTGTCAGTTTTTAGTTTTTTAGGGTTTTGCTTGCTCTTTTCAATGAACCAAATACCAACTTTGATTTTCTTTTGGATAGTTGTAGAACTATATGTATAAGTGTACTTTCTTATGGATGTTTATGAAAGCTAACTGTAGAGAGAAGTTACAGTCTGCACCTTTTTCCTCTATGTCAGTATCTTCTCTGGTACCTGACTACTTCCTTTTTAACATCAGTATCTGTCAGTCCCAGACAGTGCACTTAAATCCCAAAGGTACGGTTTATAAATGCTGTATTTTGAGATCAAAGGGTAGGAAAGATTGGTTTACAGGTATGCTTAGGAAAGAGATTAGGCTGGGCAGTGGTGGTGCACAACTTTAATCTTAGCACTTGGGAGGCAGAGCCAGGTGGATCTCTAAGTTCAAGGCCAGCCTGGTCTACAAATCGAGTCCCAAGACAGGTTCCAAAGCTATGCAGAGAAACCTGTCTGGAAAAACAGAGGTGGGGGGATTGATTAGAGACCCACACATGAATTAGGCTTTTAATGGGGAAATGATGGATAATTAGTAACGTTGATCAACACTGTACCACTGTAGACTTATGAGTGTTAGATTGTAGACAAGAGGAAAATCTAATAACCTGGGAGGTATAGTTGACATGTAGGATATGATCCATACTAAACAGAGACCCATTTTTGATCTAAGGCCTGAGACCTTGAATATACCCTTACCCTTCACCAGTTTCCTGGATATAATAAACTGATAATTGGGTTAGCTCCACATCAATGTCTTAAAAATACCAGTTTTCAGAATTTTTTTTTTTTTTTATTTTTTTCCCTTTTCGTGGTTTTGTTTTTGTTTTTTGTTTTGAGACGGGGTTTCTCTGTGTAGTTTTGAAGCCTTTCCTGGAACTCACTCTGTATCCCATGCTGGCCTTGAACTCACAGAGATCCGCCTGCCTCTGCCTCCCTAGTGCTGGGATTAATGGTGTGCACTGCTGCAACCGCCCAGCCTTTTTGTGGTTTTTCAAGACCAGGTTTCTCTGGCAGCCCTGGCTGTCTTAGATTCTGCCTTGTAGTCCAGGCTGGCCTCAGACTCACAGAGATCAGCCTGCCTCTGCCTCTGGAATGTTGGGATTAAAGCTTTGCACCACCACTGCCCAGTTTCCTGAATATATTTTAAAGAACATTGCTCAGTAGTAATATAAGCTATATACTTTAACTCCAAATACTCAGTTATTTTTTGGTAAAGAACAGTGTGTTGTAGGAAATTTAGTGTTGAGTAGTATATAAACGTGTTTAGTAACCTTTCTGATGATTTTTGTTTTTTTAAGATTGCAGCAAAAATTGGGGGTGATGCTGGTACATCATTGAATTCAAATGACTATGGTTATGGGGGACAAAAGAGACCCTTAGAAGATGGAGGTAAGTTATAGCCAGAAATAATTATAGTTATCTCCCACAGTATTCAATTGATGGGATTTTTCAATCTTATTTATTGAAATAATTTATCAGAATATTATTATATATTGGTCTCAGAAGGAAAGGGGGGGAAGGACAGACCTAGAAAAAAGGTAGGTATAATTTGAGTCTAGCAGAAAGTATTATTGTAATAGAAAAGAGTTCATTTTTTCCCCCTATTTTAGGATTATGGTTTGCCTGAGTTTGCACAGATATCTTATTAATGCTAAAATTAAAGTATAAATTGTTTAGGAAACATTTTCCTGAGTTTTCTCAATTATGCATGAGTCTTTGATATGCTGTTTCATTCATTCACTTGAAAATTCACTTTAAAGGCTAAGGCTTGCTGTAGGTTTCCCATTTTTATATTAGTGCTTTGTTTTGTGTTTCAGATTTAACTTTAAACATGGACTAAAACGGTGGACTTATAGTGCTTTTTACTTTTAAAAAATTGACACTTAGAAGTGTGTACTTTTTGTTTTAGTTCTGGTGTGTGTGTAAATTTTGACACTGTTTTTGCCCTTTTTATAAAGGATTGTGATTGAGCATATAGAAATGTATTTGTAGCCCTGAGTGGAAATAGTTAGTTTCCTTTTTAAGTGTGTTTATATTTGCAAGTGAGGTTATTAATATGCAAGAAAAAATGAGCTAATGATGCTTCAGATGTTGTGTGTACATGTGTTTATATTTGAAAGTGAGGTTTTTAATATGCAAGAAAAATGAGCTAATGATGCTTCAGATGTTGTGTGTAATGTATTCTTTTTATTTTATGTGTAGATGGCTCTTGGACAAATCCGAGCAGTACAACACACTGGGAGGGAATGCCCTCTCCTTTTAAAGGCAGGAATTTTTATTTATTACCTGTGTTTAGTATGTAAACGTGAAATGAACGAACCAGTGGATTCTTAAGTGGACACAACTATCTCTTGGTTTATGTGTCTGAATTTTTGCTACACAAAAGCCTTGAAGTGGGGAGAATAATAGTGCTTTGAGCTACAGGCTGTCTATTCTAATGTTGTGTGAGTTTTGTGTATTTGAGAAAGGCAATCATGTAGTTGCTTTGAGGTTTTATTTTGTTTTTGCTAAAGTCATATAGTGAAATGTTTCATTTGGGAATAATAGAGCAGTTTAGATTGAAACTGTCTTGTAATACAAGCTTTCCTTTTTGGTAAAGCTTTGTGATCAGATGTACTCATCTTTTGATAGGTCAGATTTTTATATAGTTACCCCGATTGTCAGTTCTTACAGTAGAAGAAGCATCATTAGCTTTTAGCATATGGTATTCACCAGCATGTAGCTAAATACTTTGTCTTGTATCATTCTAAAATATTTAAAGTGTCTGTGCATTGCTTAAACAAGAAGAGAATGAAAGAATTTAGGTTTTGTGGGTTTGTTGGGTTTTGTTTGTGTTTTTTTTTTTTTGGTTTTGTTTTTAGAATTTTGGGTCAGGTTGAATTGTGGCAATTTTGGTTCAAGTGGTAAACCATTATATCAGGTATTTTAATAAACATTGGCTTTCTTGCTTGGGGGGAGCTTTGTTTTTAATTGACAAAAAGTAAAAGATATTTAATTTTGCAGATCAACCAGATGCTAAGAAAGTTGCTCCCCAAAATGACTGTAAGTATTTTAAGCTGAGGTTTTGTTGCTACTTTTTAAAGTTATTTATGTATTTGTTTATATTTATATATAAAATTATGTATATATGTGCACATCTATGTGAGTTTATGTGCACCACTTGTGTGCAGGTACCCAGAGGCCAGAAGATAGTATGGGGATTCCTGAAAGTGCAGCTCCATGTAGTTGCAAGCCACCACATGAGTGCTGGGACCGCAAGAGCATTATATGCTCTTACCAGTTGAGCCACTTTCCAGCCAGTTGTTCCTACTTTTGAATGGGTTGTGGGGTTTTGTTTTAGGGAATTATTATGTTTTTGAGCCAGGCTCACTATGTAACCCTGACTGGCCTTGACCTCACAGAGATTCACCTGCTTCTGTTTCCCCTAGTGCTGGGATTAAAGGTGTGCCTTGCCACACCCAATAGGGTAGGTATTAATAATGTCTAGTCAGAATTCGCCTTTTTCTTTTTAAAATAGTGATTCTCTTTTCATTGTGGCCATAAATGTATAAACACTGATTGATGAATTATATACATAATTTAACTACTCCAATTCTTATGTATTTGCCACTGGAAAGAAAAGTGTTTGGTACACCATTGGTAGTATAGTTGCCCCTTTCTTGGCTCTCTTGCCACCATCAGTGATTTGAATAGTGTGAAATGTTTTATTCTCTCCAATGTATGCATCAGGGAAAGAGTTTACAATATTTGATGTGCTTGTGTTAAGTAAACTTCAACTTTGAATTTTTGTTTGAATTTGTTTTTTAGCTTTTGGAGCACAGTTACCTCCGATGCATCAGCAGCAAAGGTATAGTTGAAACTTTTTTTAGCCTTAGTTGAATTGTGTATACAGCCAACCACGTTTATATTGAAAATATCTGCCTACAATTTTGTGTAATTTTGTGTGTATAGTTTATTTCTGTTCTATTGGGAAGATGATATAGAATCATCTTTTCAAGTAAGAAATTGATAATTCAGAAAATAGGTTGAAATTGACACATTTTAGAAAAAACAAGGTACAGTGAATGATAAAGTGGTATTCACTCTGAACTCTTTCACAGATAACTAGTTCACTGCCTTGCTCACTTACACAGGCTGCCTCGTTTAAGAACCTGTGTTTGAGCTATTAGGAGACATTAAGATTGGTTTTATTAAATTACCTTTTATGTAAAAGCATATGTTATCTTTCCTTGAAGAAAAGATTAGTTTCTGTTATTTCTTAGCAGGTCTGTAATGACAGAAGAATACAAAGTTCCAGATGGAATGGTTGGATTTAGTAAGTAACATGATTTTTAAGTTTTCAAAACATAAACCATACTTCTGAAATTTAGAGTAAATAGTAACTTTTCTCTTTCTCCCCCTTACCTAGTAATTGGCAGAGGAGGTGAACAGATCTCACGCATACAGCAGGAATCTGGATGCAAAATACAGATAGCTCCTGGTAACATTCTGCTCTTGTTTGTGTGTGTGTGGATTTTGTTGTTGTTTTTTTTGTCCCCAGACCCCTTTATCCAGCCCTTAAAGTTTTTTGAGTGGCAAGAAAACTTGAGTATTCTTTTTTTTGGTTTGTTTTTCGAGACAGGGTTTCTCTGTGTAGCTTTGCGCCTTTCCTGGAACTCACTTGGTAGCCCAGGCTGGCCTCGAACTCATAGAGATCCGCCTGGCTCTGCCTCCCGAGTGCTGGGATTAAAGGCGTGCGCCACCACCGCCCAGCCTAACTTGAGTATTCTTTAAGTTTCTAAAGATGATGATGCTACTTTTAATCTATTCTTGACCTAAACTTTCCTTTTTAATTGTAGATAGTGGTGGCCTCCCAGAAAGGTCATGTATGCTGACCGGAACACCTGAATCTGTCCAGTAAGTTTAAAAATGTGAGGTCTACTTAAAGTAACTATGTGAAGACTAAACTTTGTTTTCATTACTTCTGCACCAGCTTCTGCTGGTGGCCTTGAATGTTTCACTTTGAAGTTTGTGTAGCATGCCTTTCTTGAATAGGGTTCATCATCTAACCTCTAAGACACAGAAAATTGTTCAGAACAGGGACTGAGGTGGTAACTCGGACATCCAAGTGCTTTTGCCGTTCAAGTAGGAAGAACTGAGCTTGAGCCTAAGATCTAAAACTAAAACACTTGGCCTGGTAATAGGAGCTTGTACTCTCATTGCTCTGGTGTTGGGAAGAGCAGGTTTGGGGACTTGGTAGCCAGCCTACACTCTTTGATGGGTTCAAAGCCATTGAGAAGATCTGTCTCAAAGGGTGCATATTACAAAAGAATGGGACTGCTGGTTGTAATTTGGCCTACACACATTACATGAGTTGTGTGCACAGACAGACACAAGAAAATGGCTAAAACTTGAATTGGCTTGCATACAAATAAGTTGAATGATTGTCACCTAAAATGCCACCCAAATCTTCTTTAACACTCGTCATCTTTTTGTTCTGGGGGTTTTGTTTTGTTTTTCAAGACAAGGTTTCACTGTGTAGCCTTGACTATCCTGGAACTCCCTCTGTAGGCCAGGCTGACTTCACAGAGATTCACCTGTCTGCTTCCCAAAGGTGTGTGCCACCAATGCCCGGCACCACTCAGTGTCTTAATTACTTCTGTTGCTGTAACAAAACACCATGACCAAGGAAAACAGCTTAGAAAGTGTTTTATTGGGCTCATGGATTCAAGCCACTACACCCACTTAAGCTTATTTGTTGAAAACTTAGAAACTGTGAGAAATACCTCATCCTACACTGAAATGTAACAGTTTCCTTTGTATTCATTTGCCTAAGACCATTCCTTCCTATTTCAAGGCATCATCCCTATGACTGAATTACTGTCTTTATTTTTCTTAGGGTCACTTCATTACTGTCCCTTTCACATTGCTTTTGTCTTTGCTTTTTTTTTTTTTTTTTCCTTGCCTTTCAACATGGAAGAACATCCAAATTGAACTGCTGTATAACACATGCATGATTAGGAACAAACTGCTTGACTGTTACATTGCAGTTTTAGGTATGGTTGATTATACTAAGCATTTTCATTTGAATATTAATTTGCTAACAGATCAGCAAAAAGATTACTGGACCAGATTGTTGAAAAGGGAAGACCAGCCCCTGGCTTTCATCATGGTGATGGACCTGGAAATGCAGTTCAGGAAATCATGATTCCAGCCAGCAAGGCAGGACTTGTTATTGGAAAGGGGGGAGAGACTATTAAACAACTTCAGGTACTATATATTATATTGTAAAAGTTATTAATAAGTCTTTTAAAGACAGTTACTACTTTTTGTTAACTTGTATTATTTTCATGGTTTTCGTAGGAACGGGCTGGTGTTAAAATGGTTATGATTCAAGATGGGCCTCAAAATACTGGTGCTGATAAACCTCTTAGGATTACGGGTGACCCATACAAAGTTCAGGTAAGCCTCACTTTGTCATTTATATATAAAACTGCTGAGGGGGTAGACAAAATAAGCATTAAAATGTTTTGAGAATTTTTCTAAATTGGACAACTCTCTATTTTAGCAAGCCAAGGAAATGGTATTAGAGCTAATTCGTGATCAAGGTGGTTTCAGAGAAGTGCGGAATGAGTATGGCTCAAGAATAGGAGGAAATGAAGGGATAGATGTGAGTAAACATACTGAATCAGGAATGGTTGGGTCCTAATCCGTGAGTGCAATAGTGTTCTGTTTTGGGTTGGGTGGACGTCTCATAACATTATCTGTCCCTTTTCTCAATTTCTTCCTTGGAGTATTTTTTATCTTGTTACTATTTGACATGATCATTTACTGTATTTACTTTTATGATTTGATGAAGACAAATTTTTGAGATATGTTTTTTTAATATACTTCATCTTTTACTTGCTTAAGGTCCCAATTCCAAGATTTGCTGTTGGCATTGTAATAGGAAGAAATGGAGAAATGATCAAAAAAATACAAAATGATGCTGGTGTTCGAATTCAGTTTAAGCCAGGTAAGTAAGGTGTAGCATGAATCTTAAAGAGTCTTATTAATAAAATCAAACCTGAGCCAGGTATTGGGGTGAACACTGGAAGATCAGAGAGACAGAACAAGCCACAGCTAACCTCACCTGGCCAACCTCAGCTGGTCTTGTTTCCTCAGACTGGAAACTTCTGTGTCCTCATCCCAATGGCTCTCAGCTGAACTGCTGCTCGAAAGCCTGAAGCTTAACCAGCTAAAAGCTTAACTAGCCAAATGCTTCTAGTTTCTGGTCCTCACACCTTATATACCTTTCTGCTTTCTACCACCACTCCCTGGGATTAAAGGCTTGCTTTCTGGGATTAAAGGCGTGATGAGTCACCATGCCTGTCTGTATCCTTGAACACATGGTGTACCAAGCATGGTGACTCATACCTTTAATCTCAGAAAGCGAGTCTTTAATCCCAGGGAGTGGTGGTAGAAAGCAGAAAGGATTAAAGGCTCGTTTTTTTTTCTGGGATTAAAGGCGTGAGTCACCATGCTTGGCTGTATCCTTGAACACATGGATTTCTGCCTCTGGAATGCTAGGATTAAAGGCGTGTGCTACCACTGCCTATCCTAAGTATCTAGTGGCTTTTCTGTTCTCTGACCCCAGATAAGTTTATTAGGGTACACAATATTTTAGGGAACACAATACCACCACAATAAGGTATATTTAATGTTTTGAGAATTGATAGCTGTTAATCTTGACTCATAATTGGTTTGTCATAGTTCATTGGGGTTTTTTTTTTGGTAGACGATGGAACAACACCTGATAGGATAGCACAGATAACCGGACCTCCAGACAGATGTCAGCATGCTGCAGAGATCATCACAGACCTTCTACGGAGTGTTCAGGTTTGAGAGGAAATTAACATTTTCGGCTTGCGTGAAAAGTGCTCCACCATATTACGTCAGAATCTGTTGATTTATTAAAATGACGAAACATTTACATTGCTTTATGGTAAACATCTTAGGGTAGAAGAATTGCTGCACAAACCCTGCGGGACAATGATGTCAACGCTGTGTCAGAGCCACAGGCAAGACAGCACAGGGACAAGTGTTCATGAAGGGGAGGCGCGGGCTCACAGGGAACAGCAGGGGCAGCGGCAGATGAAGAGTGTTCACAAAGGTCACAGTTGGGATGTAGCCCCACAGGGTGTAATGACACATGGAGGGCCTCATGTCACAATTCTGTGAAGACATAGCCCGTGCTACACACAGAGAAACCCTGTCTCAGAAAATGAATGAATGAATAAACAAACGAGCGAATAAGTAAATGAAAATTGCTGCTTAATTGGATATTTTTGTCAGCTAATTTATCTCTTAACTTGGTTGCTGAGAAGTATGAAAGTTGGGAAACAAACCTAATAATTTTATCAGAGAGTTTCTTTGTTCATTTTATTTGCTTGTTTTTTGTTTTTCCTTCCTTAGGCTGGTAATCCTGGTGGACCTGGACCTGGTGGTCGAGGACGAGGTAGAGGTCAAGGCAACTGGAATATGGGACCACCTGGTGGACTACAGGAATTTAATTTCATTGTGCCAACTGGGAAAACTGGATTGATAATTGGAAAAGGTAATGTATTTTAAATTCATTGTTTAATATAACTGATTTTTCTTGACACTTTGTTATAAACAAATAGTGTCGCTTTGTTTTTATTTTTGGAAGTTTTTTAGTAGGAAAGGGATCTTACTTGGCAATTAAAACAAGAACAATCTTTATGTTAAAAATGGAATTTGTGTTTCATTGGCTTCTAGGGAAAGGGAACCAGCACAGTTAATTATCAAAGAAATATAACTTGATCCTAATTGAAATGGCATTTTTTTCCTTTTGTATTTAGGTTAATTTTTTTGTTACTTACACAAGCTGCTTATTGAAAAATTTTCTGTTCTAACGCACATTAGGGTGTGTGTATATATATTTAAATAGACTTTAATGTGTTTGGTATGAGTTGTAGATGGAAGAACAGAATAAGCAGAAAATCCTAACAAGTATTGTCCAATGGAACGCTACCAAACTTTATTTAATGGCCAAATTAAATAGGTGTTTTTAAAAAATGTATTTCTTACCTTCTTTGAACTGTGGAAAACTTAGTATCTTTTGATTTTAGGAGGTGAAACCATAAAAAGCATAAGCCAGCAGTCTGGTGCAAGAATAGAGCTTCAGAGAAATCCTCCACCTAATGCAGATCCTAATATGAAGTTATTTACAATTCGTGGCACTCCACAGCAAATAGACTATGCTCGGCAACTCATAGAAGAGAAGATTGGGGTGTGTATACTTTAAAGTTCTCATTTAACATAGTTCCTGGTGCTTAATTCACCTCTACTGTGGGAAAATGTATAATTTCTAATCTGAAATTACAAGTTTTGGGGTGTAGCACGTGTGCATGTATCAACATAGGAAAGATGTCCAGAAATATGAGTAACTTGGTTAAGCATGCAATTACAAGTCTGTGAAGAGCTACCTCCCATTTGAGTGTGCCTAGTGAGTGTCCCTGCATCAGAGCTAGTGTTCGAGTTGACAGTAGTTGGAGAACCTAACTAGTTACAGGAATTCAGTATTTCCAAGGTCCAAACTACCCATCCCTGCTCAGTCAGTATAGTGAGTTAAGATGTTTATCTCCCATTCTACTGAAGTAATTAATAATTCTGGTTTGGGGGCTGACTGCCTATCATCACAGATGAGAAATATAGGCTAGTTTGATGGTTCTTCTGGAGCTCCTTGGCCACCTAGCCCAGCAAAATTAATGAGCTTTGTGTTCACCGAGGCCAGTCAGTGAACGACACTGGGGTCAGTGATGACCCTGACTTCTGCAAGCACATGTGCCCTAGCACCCACACTAACAAGTCACATGGAGACAGCATACTCTGTAGACAGGCGCCTTACACAGAGATGAAGTGAGGGTAGGATAGAGCCCGTTCTGCCTGGCTGTAATGGCACACACCTTTAATCCCAGAACTTGAAGAGACAGGTAGATCTCTGAGTTAAAGGCCAGCCAGGGCTACACAGAGAAACCCGTCTCCAACAAAACAAAGAAACAAAGATATTCCAAGTGTTTTGGTACATGATCAAACTTGGAAAGTTTCTGGTGGTACAACAAATAGAGACTTGACCACGATGGCTTTACAATGAACAATGCAAAATTTTTAAATGTGAGGGCTTTTTAAGTTAATAATCCTGTGGATGCATATAGTGGCAGCACGATTGGGTTTGATGAGTTAAATAGGACACAAAGGGGAGTGCCTAGGGGGAGGTTAGGCATACAGATTGAATATCAAAGTTAGGAAGTTATCAAGGAATACAAGTGTCTTAAAATTACTGATAATGATCAGATATTCTTAGGAAGATTCTCCTTGGATGCTATGAGTGGGCACAAAGGAAGTTTGAAAAATGAGTTGCTCAGTCATTATACTGAGTGTATTTTGTATGTTTTGAGTGTCTTTTTTGTTACTGTTTGGTTTTTCTTTTTGCAGGGTCCAGTAAATCCTTTAGGGCCACCTGTACCACATGGACCCCATGGGGTTCCAGGTCCTCATGGGCCTCCTGGGCCTCCAGGGCCTGGAACTCCAATGGGACCATACAACCCTGCACCTTACAATCCAGGACCGCCTGGCCCAGCTCCACAGTAAGTACTAAATTTGTTTAGTTCTGTGCTTTCCCTAAAGATCCTAGGTTTGGGGGCTGGAGAGATGGGATTTAGTTCCCAGCACCTCACGGTGGTTCACGACTATCCATAACTCTGGTTCCAGGGTATCCGATTCCAACACCAGGCATGCATGTGGTTTTTGCACATACATGCAATACATACACAGGCAAAAACCACACATAAATAAGTAAAAGGGTTTTTTGTTGTTGTTGTTTTTAAGATTCTGGCTCTTGGTAAGTGGTATTTGTGTTTTGTTTTTTTTTCCCCCAGTGGTCCTCCAGCCCCATATGCTCCCCAGGGATGGGGAAATGCATATCCACATTGGCAGCAGCCAGCTCCTCCTGACCCAGGTAAAAGATAACCTACTGTTAATACGTTGTCTGTACTGGTCACCTACTACTTACTGTTACAGTCTTGAATTACCTATTGATTCTGCATTTATATGTGTCATCTTTGCTGTATTTCAACAGTGTTAGGCACAGTGTAAGATTGACACAATCTATTAAGAAAAATGTTTCTGTCTCTGCATTTTTTGAGACAAGGTCTTAGCCTGTAGCTCAAGGTGGCTCTCACCTTCTCTTAGAAGTATAGCCCAGGCTGGGTGGAGGTGGCCCACGTCTTTAATCCCAGCAATGAGCTCTAGGTTCAGGGAGAATCCTGTCTCAAAAAATTAGAAAGGGTGCCAGACAGGTGGCTTAGCAGTTAAAAGCACTTGCAGCTCTTTCAGAATGAAAGTTCAGTTCCCAGCACTCAGATCAGGCAGCTCACAACTACTTAGAACTCCTTTTCCAAGAGATTCAGCACCTTCTTCCAGACTCTTCACGAACCTGTACATTGTGTAGACACACACATAACACATAATTAGAAGTAAAATAATTTAGTTATGTAAAAAAAGATGAACAATTTAAGAGAACATTCAAAGTCAATCTCTGGCCTCCATGCCCATGTGTGCACATGAGCAAACATGCTCCCCCACACACAAAAGGGTAAGCTAGGTGGTCCATATCATGAAAGACATTGACAGCAGAGGCCACACATGTTCCAGCGGTAATTGTGACTTTTGTGAAATATAGAATCTTGAACAAATTAGCCTGTGGAAGTATTGCTCTTTGCAGCTGAACTTATTTTGGGGGTGGGGGTGGGGTGCAAAGATATAGGATTGTACTGAGGCATACCATTGGATTTGAAGCCAGAAGATCATTCCTTTGTATCCCAGTTCCACAATTCACTAGTTTTGTAATCTGGGAAATTATCTGAGGCTCAAGTTTGTGAACTAAAAGCCGTGTTAAGAATGATAATTTTAGAAAAATTTGAAAGTTTCCATTTTGCTGTTGTTAATTTTTCAGTCTGTCAGGGATCCTCAGAAAAAGATTGATTTTAGAGTTTACATATAAACCTTGAAATTTTTCTTTTTTTTTTAAATTTTAGCTAAGGCAGGAACAGATCCAAACTCAGCAGCTTGGGCTGCTTATTATGCTCACTATTACCAACAGCAGGCACAGCCCCCGCCTGCAGCTCCCACGGGTGCACCAACTACAACCCAAACTAACGGACAAGGTAACTACGGTAATTAAAAATTTTATTTTTCTATTTTAAAGCTTGTGTTTAGATTTATGTATGAAGTATATTAGTGTGTCATACCAAAATTTTCTTTCTTTTACTTTCAGTCCTGGGAATTGAACCCAGGGCCTTGTGCAGGCTATGCTAACACTATATCACTAAGTTAGATCCCTAGACCTAAGATTTTGAAGATTCACTTGTGACTGTGGGTAAGCATACTAAGTCACTTTGAAATAGTAGCAAATTTTAATAAAAGCCGGAGAAATGGTTAATAAAAATTAGAGAAATGGTGCCCAAAATACCAAAACAGTCACTGTTTTGTCCCCTATTTATTCCATTACCCTGATAGGTCTGTTATTAATTATGAAAAAGAACTACTGAAAGCTGTACTTGGAGACATGAAGTCATATTATCCTCATACATACTGTGTACTCATTCCAAAAACCATAACTAACCATCATGGTCTTTGAAGTCAGGTACTCAGCATTAACACAGCACTGCTGTACACAGCCCCTGCTTATAGTCACCAGTTGTCCCAGTTTTCATCAAGATCTACCTAGTAACGGACAACATTTATTAGGTCTGTTAAGTCTCATCAAGCTGGAGCAGTTTCTCAGTCTTTTATGTCTCTAATAAGAGTATAGCCGGGCGGTGGTGGCGCACGCCTTTAATCCCAGCACTCGGGAGGCAGAGCCAGGCGGATCTCTTGAGTTCGAGGCCAGCCTGGACTACCAAGTGAGTTCTAGGAAAGGCGCAAAGCTACACAGAGAAACCCTGTCTCGAAAAACCAAAAAAAAAAAAAAAAAAAAAAGAGTATAACTCAGTTGTTAAGTAGCTATTATCTTAGGTCCCTTGGACTTAATTTACCCTGATCACTTGGTCATACTGCTACCTACCATGTTTTTTGTTTATTTGTTTTGTTTTTGGGGGTTTTTTGTGTCCTATGATACCCCCACTTATTGTATGAATTAACTAGTATTTTTGGTACATTTTACTGAATTATGTTACTAGCATATTCATCAGACTTCTCCCTCTGCCTTAGTCTGTATTATGCCCTGCCTTAGTAAACTACCATTACTATAACTGTTTTGTTGGTTGCTATCATTGTATATTAGTTGCTATTTTACTGCAAGGAATAGCTTTCCTTTTTTTTTTTTTTAACTGCTTTTATTATATTGTCCTAGATTTGGGTGGTTGGGATTATCTTCAAGGTGGCTCTGGTGTCTTCTGACATTCATCAGGTGCTTCCTTAGTACCTAAAACAGTAAGATACTTTGTCTTCTGAGCTCCAATCAATGATTCATTCATTTTTTTCAAGGATAGAATTTAGAAACCAGACTGAGTATACTGATTGCTATATTTAAGTGTCACTGATCATAACCCTTTCCAAAATAGAACTAGAAAGTATGTTTTGGGGCTGGCAGTTAATAGTACTTGTTCCTGCAGAAGACCCAGGTTCGATTCCCAGCACCCACATGGTGATTAACACTGTAACTAATTCCAGGGGATCCGGTGCCCCCTTCTGACCTTTGAGAGCACCAGACACCTCCAAATAAGCATGTGGGCAAAACCATGATACAGAAAATAAAACAATCTAGAAAAGTTTTTATAAACATACAGGACCACACATACCTACTAAAAATCACATGACTGCTTTTTTTTAAAACATTCAAATTCTATTATAATGCTTCAAAACTATTCTCAGCTTTTTAACTCTTCATATATAACAATAGCCAGAAACCTCATGTCCTGTATTTCTTTCATGTGTGTTTACTTAATAGCCCATGTCACTAATTTCTCTGTGCACCCCTTCTGTACCTACTGTCGTGTGTCCCCATACTAATGCACTCTAGTATACAGCTCCGTAGTAGGCAGTGCTAATTCCCATGTTTGTGGTGCAGAACAAAAATTGCCTTCGAAAACTTAAATCTTGTTTTGTTTTTATTTTTTGTTTTGTTTTGTTTTCTTAACAAGGAGATCAGCAGAATCCAGCTCCAGCTGGACAGGTTGATTATACAAAGGCTTGGGAAGAGTACTACAAGAAAATGGGTATGCTGTATATTTAATTTCATTAATTAAATTGAAGAATTTAGTAAATATACATTAGAAGGCTAGATTTTGGTTAAAAAAGCATTTCTTCTGTTTTTAATACTTTATATTTTTATAATGTTAAAGTTAAGAATATGAAACAAGAAAGGTGACATTCTAAAATCATTGGACTTCTAGCATATTAAGGGCATTCTAGGAAATTCTTACAGTAGTGCTTATATGGCAAGGAAATGCATTTGTCAGCAAGTTAGTAATTAAAACTGGAAATTTCCTTACTAGGAAATAATATCTGGCTTTAGTTATTACTATACTTTTGTGTAGTGGCCTAAATGGAATAAGGTTACATTTTAGAAGCCCAAGCAAAGCAGTTGTATGTGGTATCATTGGTTTTACTCTACAATGAGCAGGAAATTAGCCCACAGTGACAAGAAGTGCATTGCTTTAATATTAAACATTTGCATGCGTGCATTGAAAAGGAAAAATGATGGCCTTTAAGAAGAAACTTGCATTTGACAACTATTGAATGCATACCCCACACAGCCGAAGTGACTGTGTCTAAGTGCTTCTAGTTGGAGATACAGCTTTCCACAAAGCTGCTTTCAGATTCAAGAGGTTTTCTACTTGAACAGCTGTTTGGAGAAGTGATGCGTCATCATACTCCTGAGACTAGCAGATGTGCTAGCTTACTTTTTTTTTAACCTCACTGATTTCAGGTTATGACAGTTAAACCTTTGCACTAGAAACTTTTAACTTTAAAAGAATGTTCTGTGTGATTGGCATGATTAATTACATAATTTGTTATTTCAACTGGGATACTTTAGAGAATGAATTGAAATGTATTAATCATTCTGTGATAACCAGTGGTCAAGGCAGATAGCCACCCTAACTCTACTGAAATAACTACTTTTTTATTTGAATAAGGAATTCGGCATGATGAGGACAAAGTACATTAACTCCAATTTGTATTTTCACCATGTGTAATGTGCCAGATGTATCTATGTATTGATTTGATAAAACCCAGGCCTGCTAACTGACGTAGATAGTTGGGGTGGAATGAGTTTGGCGTCTGTGCTCAGTTATGTCCTGTTGTTTGTTTAACATGACATAAGTTTTGTTTAGGTATTTCTCATTCTGTATGCTTAAAATGTTAATTGTAGCTTTTATTGAACATAGACATTTTAACTCACTTTGGATTTAGTGTTTTACTTTGTAGTATTTCCCACATACAATTCTGTGAGAGAGAGAGAGAGAGAGAGAGAGTGTGTATGTGTGTGTGTGTGTGTACACACAGACACAAAGCAACTTTTTTAGTAAATGACTGTGGGGGCTTGTTTTCTTCATTTGTACTGTTCTGTAATAATTCAGGGGAAACCTTAATGTTATGGACAAAACAGACAGCAATTTTCTGTCACATAATTCTTGAAAGACACTATCTTAGGTAATTTAGTTACGTATTAAATAATATTTTTAATTGTATGATAGTTAGGCAAACTAATTTTCCCTGTAAAAGTTCTTTTTACAAATGTTTACTATAATCTCTTTTGAATGTATTGTCCTCAATACATTCAAAAGAGATTTAGGATAATCACAGATAAAAGACCTTAAAGCAAAAAGTTCAGTTTAGGGGCTGAGGAGTAGATGAGTAATAAGAATGCTTAAGGACCTGGGTTCAAATCCCCACTACATCTTAAAACCTAACATGGCAAGTTGCATGTCCTGGTAGCATCAGTTGGAAGTCTGTTCCCAAGGAGCTTGCTGACCAGCTTTAAAGTTCAGTCTTTGTGTGTTTGAAATGGAAGAAGGGAGAAGAAAATTGGGGAGAAAAGAATCTTGAAGGCTCATGGTCTAGTTTAGTTAGCGTGCTTGGCTTGCATACATGGGCTCTGGGTTCAGTCGCTAGTGTAGGTGTGTGAATTTTTATCTCCAAAGCCATTTCTCTTACTTTCCCAAGTAGCCTGACAAGATATCCTAGTTCCTTGAGTGGAGTCCTTGTTCCCAAGTACCTTCTTCACAAACTAGTAAGCAAGCAGAGCTATTGGGTTTTTTTGGTTTTTTTTTTGTGATAAAAGCTCATATAACTTAGGCTGTGGATGCAATTGAAGCTATTATGTAGCAGAGATGATTTTGGACTCTGTTACTCCTTTCTCCACTCCACTTCCCTAGGACTGATATTACAGCCTGTGCCAACATGCCCAATTTATTCACATAGATTTGGAACCCTGATTCCACCTTTTACTCTTCAAAGCAAAAAAATGCTGTTAATAAACTATAAATTTGTCATCATCTCAGTAGCAAATCTCTGCTAAAACATCTGAATTTCCTGAGAATAACACTTGGAAAACTTATATCACAACTCCTCTCCCCCCAGGGTTTCTCTGTGTAAGTCTGGGAACTTGCCTTGTACCTTGCAGACCAGGCTGGCCTAAACACATAGAAATCCATCAGCCTCTGGCTCCTGAGTGCTGGGATTAAACTGGCACCACCACTGCCTGGCAACTCCAAAGATTCTTATAGATGATATTCTAGGTTGAAGGAAAAGATGTTTTAAGTCATGAGGAAGAGCAGACTATGGAGTGGTAGAGGTTGCAGGTAGCAGAAAACTTGTGTATTCAGTAAAGAATTAAGGTAATTCCTGTTTAGAGGAGAGTAGGTGAAGCCATTTTGGGTAATGTTTTTAAGAGCCCTTGTAGGACATCGAGATGTCTCAGTGGGTAAAAACACTTGTGCAAAAGACTGAACTAATACTGAGGAAGACATATACTTATAATTTCTGACATCTACACACACATGCATGGCTTATGTGCCTGGACACACATAAATCATATACAAAACAATTTTTTAAAAAAACCCTTACACTGTTAAGGACTGATGGTGGACTCTGAAGGCATCTAATAACTTGAAGCCCAGAGGATGTAGCTGTAGAACAAATGCAGATCTGTCAAGAGATCATTGAGTATTGGTGATCTGTTTAATAAGGATTGCTCTTAGGCTGTTTTAGAAATAGTGAACTTTCTATTGAGCTACATGTAAAAGACATAGACCAGACAGGTAGAGAGACTAAAGGGTGGGATATGGGGGGACAGGGTGATGCAAAAGGCAGGGGGCAAGGTGAGACCTGGAGCCTGAAGAGTGCTTTACATGTCCATCCATCGGTATCTTATGTCATTGTGCATTACCATGTTTGCTCTCACATGGACAGTTTATAAAGGATATCGTATGCTTTTGAATTATATCTCCTTATAAGGTCCAAATGTTAAACTCTGAGAAGTTATTTATGAAAAGTGAAAATAAGATTTTTTGTAATACTGGAAATCTTTTTTACTTTGCTCAAACAAGCCCCCACCCCATTTTAAGTTTGAGTCATAGATCTCAGCTTTTGTTCACATAACTAGGCTTTATTCTTTGAGCAGTTTTACAGTGTGAGACTGCTTTCTGAAGCTATGGAATGCAAAAGGTATCCCTTTGTCTTCTCACAGAGCTCTGTGTTCATGTAGCCACATACGTACAGCACGAGTTCTTTCTTTAGTTTTTGCTTTGGCCATTTCAGAAAATTGGGAAATTGTACACCAGTCACAGGTTTGGCCAGTGTGTTCAGCCAAGTGTATTTCATTTATATTTTATGCCTGAGCCATTAAAAAGTAAGTTTGTTTTAAACATATTGAATAATACCCTCTGTGCTTAACTGTTGTAATGTCCCTATCAAGAAACTGTCTTCTGCAGTTGGCTTGTTTTTGTTTACAGAATCTATCCAGTATTCCTATGATTTGATGATTATATTTGTCATTTGATAACTCAAAAAGGTCACTCTTCTCAGAAACAAAACTACACTTGGAAGCTGAGTTTTACATGTTTAATTGATCTTGTTCTCTATGTCAGCTGCCATATTTTTAGCAAAACTGTACTTTGATCTGAACATAATGATCTTTTGTGTTGCGGCATATGTGTATATTCTATAAATATCTTTATAAAATATTAAATATTTATAAATATCAGTATTTCTCTATTGTAGTTTAGACCAGTAGTATAACTGATGACCAAAATGGATAAAAGCCAGGAGGCAGAGGCAAGTACATCTCTGAAGATGAGGCCAGACAGGCTGGATAGTGAGACCCTGTCTCAGTTTCAAACAAACAAGAACAAAACCCCCATGTTGGTGGCACGCTCCTTTAGTCCCAGCACTGGAAAGGCAGAGGCAGACAGATGTCTCTGAGTTCAGGACAGCCAAGGCTACACAGACCAATTGAACAAAAGAACAGTTTGTTCTCCTTCCTTGTCAAAGAGTATGTCTGAATCTTCACCTTTGTTTAAAGCTATGTGAGTTTGGATTGTTTTGTCTTTATGGATAGGGTGGTGAACTAGAAGACTGAAATTTGTGATCAAGATGAAAAATAGCGTTTTTTTTTCTCTTTGTGTTCTGCACTTTTTACTCATCCTCCCTCCCTCTCTCTTTAAGGCATACTTAAGATAAACAGTAACTGAAGGGGCAGTGATACACACATGTAATCCCGGCACTTGGGAAGTTGGCAAGAGGATTACAAGTTCTGAGCCAGCCTGTGCTGTATAGGTGAAACCCCGATTTAAGATAAACAAGAACCTCTATGCCTGTCGTTACAAGCTATACAGACAGTGGATGGAAATTTGTGTTAAAATTCAGGGGGTTTTTTTTAGGTCAACAAGGGCAGACACAAGATTACTCAAAGGCTTGGGAGGAATATTACAAGAAGCAAGGTATTATCTTTACTAGACAAGAGATTCTATGAGATTTTGAATTATAGTTGAGCAATAAAGTTCCTCTGTTTTCCTGAAGGTCAAGCAGTTCCTGCTCCTACTGGGGCCCCACCAGGTGGTCAGCCAGATTATAGTGCAGCCTGGGCTGAATACTATAGACAACAAGCAGCATACTATGCCCAGACAAGTCCACAAGGAATGCCGCAACATCCTCCAGCACCTCAGGTATAATACACTTGCTAATTGGTTTTTTTGTTTGTTTGGGTTTTTTTTGGTTGTATTTTTTTTGTTTTGTTTTTTGTTTTTTTTTTCACTCCAACCATGTTTTCTGCATGTTTGTCTGTTTGGGAATGTTTTACTTTTTACTTGGTAAAGTATAACTATGATATTGTGTGTTTGGGGATTTGGTTTTGTAATAATACTTTTCTGGCATCTGAGTGCTATTCTTATAATGCCTTTGATTTTAAAAATAAATTTTCTTCCCCCAGGGATTTGCAAATCATGCAAGAAGCCACCATCATTTATATTAACCAGTTTTTCTTTCTTAAAGGATTCACTCCTGAATTAGCTCCATTTAAAGGATTTTCTTTAACTTTTTGTGTATCTCTTATGTATCTCTTCTGCACAGGGCCAATAATAAGAAGTGGACAATACAGTATTTGCTTCATTGTGTGGGGGAAAAAAACCTTTGTTAAATATATGGATGCAGACGACTTGATGAAGATCTTAATTTTGGTTTTGGTTTAAAGTAGTGTTTTCCCCTCTTTTTTTTTTTTATTTTGAAAATGTACAAAATATCTATCACTACTGATAGGAGGTTAATATTTCTGTGTAGAAATGAAAATTGGTTTGTTTTTAGTCTTTAGTGTAGATGTACACATTCCAGCAAATGTATTTGCAACTATTATGTGGTCAATGCTTTGTGATATAAATGTACTTTTTCAATGTATACTTTCACTTTTAAAATGCCTGTTTTGTGCTTTACAATAAATGATATGAAACCTCCTGTGTCGGTAAGTTGGATATGTGGGTAAAGGATTCATAATTTCTTAGCAGTGATAAATTAAGATACATATACACAAATATATAAGCTTTCCCCATGAATTACTGAGTTTTTAAACACTGGCATGTTTTCCCCTTTGCAGTATAGTGGTAGATTGGAGGATCTTTTCTGTTGTATTTGGCTATTTCAGCACAAGTAATCCTGATATCTTCATTTTTTTTCCTTCTGTTTGATTAAAAACTGCATGTGTATACAATGATCTTTAGTATACTTCCATTGCATTAACAGTGAAATTTCCTTTTATATATGAGCACTGTTTCAGACCTGTACTGCTGCTACAACAGTTAACCTTTCTGTTCTTCACTTATTTCCATGACTGTTTCAGCATAACTAATTTTGAACAGTTTTCAGACAGTGATTTGAGTAGTTTCTAAGAAGCTTTTTGTTTTTTCATGTAAAGCAACTCTTTCAATGTATATAATAGTGTGTTTCTTTCTAAATTTAGGATAGAAAAGTAAATAGTATGCAAAAGTATAGCTACATTGCATCTGCCATTGAAACATTTGGGGTATGAAAACGTTCAAGAACGCTTTTTTCTTTTTGCAGTATAGATAAGCTTTGTCTTGTAATTGCACAAGTCCAGTCATTGAATCAAAATAATTTTTTATGTACTTGAATCATTTTATTACTCTAACATTCATGCTGAAGTTCTGATATTTTGTTGAAAACCATTGTTTTACTCTGCATATTTGTTGGCTCTTTGCATATTAATATATTAGACTACATGCAAATACAGTCTGTCTTGCCATTGTCTGTTGAAGTGCAGGTTTGATCCAGCCAGTATAGAACTAGCTCTGTAGGGGTGAGGAGGACTGTGCTGTGTATCATCCTTGATTGTGTTCCTTCAAGGAGCATTGCACTGTAAGTACATCAGAATGACAAATTGATGAACTGCAACAGTATCTTTTTGTCGATGTTCCACATAATGCAATTGCTATATTTTGTGTGAATATTATGTTGGAATACAGTGCTGATATCATGGGAAAACATAACTGCCTTTTAACAGAATAATACATAGTTCTGTATTTTTTTTAAAGTGAGCTTAATGGGTAAGTATTTTTGATACGCTTTAGCTAATAGCTAAAGAAAATTGATCATTAACAAAGTTGAATAGTATTATCTATCGGTGCTCCTAAAATGCCGATTTTCAGTGTGAAATATGCATCTTTTATAGTGATATGAAAAACTTGAAATGTGTAAGACAGAAATGTTTTTCAGATTGCAAATTATAAGCAATGTAGCACTTAACACCTTTTTATAAATATGTCAGTTCTGTCATGTGTGGAGAGCACCGTTTGTTTTGCATATACTTTAAAGGAAGAAGTATGAAGACAAAAACGTTGAGATAATAGGACAGAAAACAGTACAGCTCATTGTGGATGTTTTGAAATGTTTGATTGTTTTATGTAACTTAGAGTGACTTCCCTTGCCCTTATTTAGATATGGATACATAGTCTAGTCTGAAGTTTAATAGTTAAGGAGTTATCTATTATCTTAAGTGTAGGGTATTGACATGAACAATTTCAATATTTTGCATGATGTTGTTGCATAGATGACCTAGGAAAGTGGTACATGTAGTAATTAAACTGAAGGAAATAGTTGGATTCAGTATCATAATTCACAAATTGGAGGCTGTTGATTTTGATTCGTTTAAAGTTTAAAATCTTTATTAATTGCAAACAGTGCAATTATTTATACTTCACAGTGCCTTCCCAGACCTTCCACCTTAGGTTCTGCTGCAAAAAGCACCAGGTAAGCACAACCTAAGGACATATATATAAATATATCAGTACCTTAATGTTGTCCCTGTGAGGTTTTTGTGGTTGTGTACTCAAAAGCAATCTGCTACTGCTTCCCCAAATGTATTTTGTTATTTATGCTACCATTCTAGTGGAAAGTCTGTTAAGTTGTTCAAGCAACTGTTTATAATTTTGGGTAATGGTTTTTATTTTAATTTTTTCATTAAAATAAAATGAGTAGATTGCTGCTATAACTGAAAAACATCCAAATCTTTTTGTGCCCCCCTCCCCCAAGTTATAGAAGTGTTGCAGTAAGAACAGTTAAATAGTTAAGACTTAGAAAATCATTTGGTCAGAAATTTCAACAGCCTTCACAGCCTGTTTGTGTAACTGACAGGACATTTTCTTTGTCATCCAAACCTATGGGGTTTTTGTTTTATTTTTCCCCTTTATTATTACTGCATTAAAGTATAGTAATTCAGTAAGAAAATTGTGGGTTAGTTTCCTAGACAGTTCTGTTTTCATGTCTTGTATTTGCTGATAAGGAAGAATAAGGAATACTGGCAGTAAGTTGAAAAAAGGCATGTGCATCAGTGAAATGTTAACTGTGTAACAAATAACCTTTCATAGTCTGCATAACTAGTTTCTGATTTACTATATTTTAATATAACTGACGCTGCATTTACTTTTTGCCAGTTTAAAATGTTTGTGTTCTTAGGAATGATGTTTAACTAGTACATATTTTGACTTAAGATGACTGTCTTAAAGCAGCACTATATCAGTTTTGTTTTTATTCAGTTTCTAAAATGTGCTGATCCTATTAAAAACTCCTGCTTATCTTTACAACAAAGAAAAATATTCAAAAATACTGCCTTCATTTTCACACACAGTGCTGAAGATGCTGCAAGCACCAAATCATAGCTCATAAAATCAGGTCCTGAGATAGTTACCCATAAAGAGGAATCCTTTGAGTGTATGCCATTGGTGAGCCGATGAGCATGGACCATAGAAGGGCTCAATGTAGAAGGTAAAATTGGCAAATCATAATTGAGAAGTATGAAATGTATTCCCATACATAATATGGTATAGGGTGTAATGTACCTGCTCTTGATCACTTTTCATTTTAAAGTGCTATTCACTTAAATGTTCCATGAACTGTTAAGTTTAAATTTATAGTTATTGCACACACGCACACTGTGTGTGTGTATGTGTGGTGTGTGTATGTGTGGGGGTGTGTGTGTGAGTGAGTGAGAGAGAGAGAGGGAGAGGGAGAGGGAGAGGTTGGGTCAGTATTTTGAAAGCAGATTTCTTTAGAGACTGAAGTTTTGGTTAGTTGTAGTTTGGGTTTGGAAATCTGGATGAATGATTATAGATACTGGGGATTGTTTCTATCTTGTGAGAAATTTTAATTCATTACCATGAACCTTCACTGGTACTTTAACATTTTAAATAGCACCAATCTTAACCTTGAAGTAACTGGAAAGCAGAACAGGTGAGCCAGTTGATTGAATCCAGCAGATTTTAAGGGTGGTAGAAAAATTGAATGGTTTAGATTGAAATTAAACTCATTTAATACTTAAACAAGTTTACAGGTTTTTTTTAATGACATACAATTTAGTGTAGTGGTAACTTAGAATTCTTTGCTTTCTTTGATGTTTGTTTCAGAAATGTGTGTACTTGTTTTTTTAGTAATGAGAATCCTTTTAATATTAAACTAGTGATAGTTGTAAAGTGTATTCTTAAATATCTGGTAGTTAATTCATTAAAGTGGGTTTAGATAGGAGTAGTGAGTGCTCTCAGAGGGAAGTTTTCATTCACTTGAATGCTTTGCCAATACAACCAGTTCTTCCTGAAAATAGTTATATGCCATCTAGAATATTGATGTAGAATTAACTGATCACTGGAGATGTCTCATTTTTATTTCTTCAAATTCTTAAAATGCATTCTCATAATACTTAGAGATAATTTGACCAAAATTAACCCTTTTTTTTTTTTTTGATTAGTCAGTCGGCTTTAGTTGAGGAATTTTTAATTGGTACTTTAAAGAAGCAAATCCCAGGGTTTTATTTTCTTCAGTGATACCCTAAAGAAACTCTTTAATGTATTTGCAAATATATATATTTTCTTATGCATGCTCGATGCATTTTCGTCCTGAGAAAAGTGTTCTCTACAGAAACTACCCGTGTGTTAAAAGAAGATTGGCTTAAAATGGCTACTGTGATGGGAACAGTGTCTTAGGGAGATGCAGCTTGGACTTGAGGTAAATTGAATACTTTACAAACTGGTTTAGAGTTTTGCTTTAATGACATTGTATGTAAAAGGGCACGTGATATTGTAATTTTGTATTCTTTATGGTTTCCTTAATTTAAAAAAATAAATGTACAGTGATGACTACTCTGAGACTGCTTTTGTCTTTTTGTGTCTTTTTTTTTTTTTTTTGGTTTCTCGAGACAGGGTTTCTCTGTGTAGCTTTGCGCCTTTCCTGGAACTCACTTGGTAGCCCAGGCTGGCCTCGAACTCACAGAGATCCGCCTGGCTCTGCCTCCCGAGTGCTGGGATTAAAGGCGTGCGCCACCACCGCCCGGCCTGCGCCACCACCGCCCGGCCCTTTTTGTGTCTTTGATGTGATTGCTGAGTTAAAAATTTTCTCCTTTATTCCTGTCATTAAAGATTTGTTGTGAGAAAAGTACTGGTGGTTGGCTTGCCTTTAATTAAAAAGAATTAAGTAATGATAAGTTCTTTAAACTTAAAAGAGCAGATAATTCTTTTACAGCTTTTCAAAGAAGGAAAAAGACCTTTTAATGCACAGGTAACTTTATTATGGTTTCACAATGTAAAATAAAATCGTTTTCCAGGAAATTGAATATAAATATAAAACAACCAAATAATAGAACATTTATAGTTATAATTATTTACAGACTTTGTTTTGAGACAGTTTCACTATGTAGTCCTGGCTGTCCTGGAACTCACTATGTAGATCAGGCTGACCTTGAACTCAGAGATCCACCTGCCTTTGTCTCCCAAGTTTTGGGATTAAAGGCATGCACTGTCACTCCAGACATTTACAGACTTATTTTTAAAGCAAGAATTTTAAAATGAATCACTTTTTTTCTGAATCTAATCCTCCTAGGTCTTGAAACCTTCAGTGATGTTAAAAACATTTGTTCCTGCATGGAATACTAATATTTTCTCATTAAAGTATAATTTGTTCAGGCGGGTCACAGCATAAACTTAAGTGTGGTCATTACACATTTGAAACGCATATGTTAAATAGCTGTCATCTTGGAACACTGTAAGCTTTGGTTTCTATTAAATTTAATTTAGTTTCTAAAAAATATCCCACTTGGGTTTTTTTCTTTTCAATGCTCCACCTTTCTCATGAAAAGAATGATACTCCTTTTGTAAGTATATCTGCTTCATAAGACTTGGAATCCACAACAATTACACACTACAGAGGAAGACTGATCAGTTCCAACTTCCTTGTCCTCTCTGGCTAATTTTAGATGTAAAAACTCTTAAATTCTTTTATGCATACAATGTATACTTCAAGCAAAATTGCTATAAATAGGAAAATACAAAGCTTTTGTTTTAGGTTCTCACAGAATAAGTACATTTCCCTTCCCTGTCAACTACATTTTGACCGGGCACAACATGGTAACCTGGTGTGCATTAGAAAAGGCAGTCTTTGGATGAGCTCCTATTTTGAAGATTTGGGGAAGGGTATTAAGTCAACAGAGTGGCACCTCTGGTCTCCTCATGGCCCCTCCACAGAGATGTAGCAAGAGAGTTGAGAGAGTAAGTTCCAAGAAGAGAAGGAAGCCTAGTAGTCATCCACTAAAAAAAAAGAAGAAGAATGATATTTTCCTTTGCTATTTATTTCCTTAACGAAAGAAAGGGTCAAAAGCCAATTAATTCTTACTTTCAATGGTAAGAATGCAGGTACTTGCTGCAGAGCCTTTATTGTTGACTGCTTTACACATATATTCTCCTCCATCTTCCGGGAAAGTTTCTGGTAAATAGAGGCAGTAAGTTTCGCCTCTTTCAATGTACTGATAGTCTTCTCCGTCCTGCAGCATTTCTCCTTCAAACCACCATGTGATTTCTGGTTTGGGTTCTCCTGTTACTTTAACAGTGAATCTAACTGGCTCACTGTCTACAACTGAGGTATTTCTTAGAGGCTTTTTGAACCATGGAGCTCCTGATCTCGTTTGCTCTTCATCTTCAGTAGTGGAGCCATTAATGATGCTACCTTCTTCTTCTTCCTCATCTTCTCTTTTCTATATTAAAATAAGTGCATTTATCAAGTCATTATTTTTAGTAATAGAAGTTTGACGATAAAAAAAAAACAGGATAGTGCTCATTGCTAGAGCATTTAGCTAGCATGCATGGTGCCCTGGGTTTCATTGATTATACTACTTTCTAAACCATTCCAATGGCTTGAAAGCAATGAAGACAACTTAATTACTTGCAAATGGGTTTAGAACTCCCTCTCTGTTAATGTAGATGCATACCTTCTGTAGTGCTGCATCAATTTCTTTCTGTTCAAACTGCATTCGTAGTAACTTCTGTTCTTCTATTCTCCGTTGTTCTTCTTCTTTTCTTGCCTTAGCCATTTGTTCAAATCTGGCTTTCATGTTCACTTTATGAGTAAAGGGAGATTCACTTTTTTTTGCAGGCCTTACATCAACATCATCTTCCTTAAAAACAAAAAAAAATAAAAGTTGCTTGCTGAGAACTTAATGCGTTAATGTTTAGGGACAAAATATTTAACGTTTAATTTGCTTTGTGTGATACTGTAGCCGTTTAGGTATTTAGGGAAAGTGGGTTAGTAGTTGTAAAACAATTTATAATACTTTAGTTCCACTTCAAAGGCCAGCATCTTACTGGACTCCTGGCCTGTTGTGCCCAGCTCACTCAGTACTTCATTTAATAGTGCTAATAGTAAAAATGTTATTTTGTGTTTTTATGTACACACACCTCTTCACAGAGTATCATATACAGTGGCAACTTAAAAATACAAGTTCTTAAGTATTTCTTCACCCTACTACATACTAAAATCTGTTGCTTTTGGGGATTTTAGAAGTGAATTTATGTAATTTATATGTCAAGGAAATGGAGAAGCATCTGGCATATGTGGGAAGTGTGAGTAAGGTGAGTCATCTATTCATAGGTGAACTTTGGAAGCCAGGAAAAGAAAAGGGCAGGACTACCTATCAAAAGGTGTGGGTGTAGTGTAATGTTTGATAAGATGGTATCAAACAGACTGGTTCCAAAGGTTACCTTTTTGGTTTTGTTAACTTTTTAAACAGTTTGTGTGTAGGACTGTTTGCCTGCAGTACTGTATGTGTATGCAGTGCCTGTGGGTGCCAGAAAAGGGGTCATTCTCTGGAACTGGACAGTTAGAGATGATAGTGAGCTGTTCTGTGGGTGCCCTGAAAAGATACCCAGTCCTATGAAAGAGCAGTAGGTTCATTTAACCTCCAAGCCATTTCAGCATGTGAGACCTCCAGGTTATGTTATGCCAAGGACTGAAGCCAGGGCTTCCTGAATACTACACTCATACTGCCAACTGAGCTACTTCCACAGCCATAAATTAAAGCCTTCATTGGTCTCTGAAAAAAATTCACCGTTGTTACCATAGTACTGTGGGGAATTGTGGGAGGGGGTGGTGGTTGTAAAATATCCAACTAAAGGGAAATTGGGAAACAAGCTATAGATTGATTAATTCTATAAGAAAATCTTGGCTCATGGGCATGTACATGCTTTCATCTGTTTGGAAGTTTCTTGGTTTCCCAGGTAACACTTTAGTTGTATTTAGGGAAATCCCAGAACATGAGATAACTTGATAGCCTACAGGTGCATTATTTTTGTGCTGCTTATTTACCCTCAGATGTTGACTAGTTACCAGTGATAACTGTGATTGTGTCCTGGGGCTGGTGACACACCTACCCAATATGCACAGGGCCCACAGCACCACAGAAGTGAGAACAGTCAAGGCCAGCCTGAGCTGCATAAGATCTAGTGCTTTGATAGTGGTTTGCTTTCATTATCACAGATCTTGCCAAATATGTGAAAATAGTTAAGCCAGTATAATAACTACTGTTTTAACTGAATCCTAATAAGATATATAATTTCCTTTCTACGATTTAGCACAAAACTTTGTGCAAGTTCATTACTTTCCATTGCTTCCTCAAAACTGCATTTAGAAAATGCTGTTTGACTAGGCAGAAGAATTGTTCTTGACTTAACAGAATGTCAAACAGTAAGACGTCAGTTTATCTTTCCTAAAACCTTTGGGGAGGTAGGCTGGAACATTCTAAGAAAGTCATGTTTTAAATGGAATGAGTGTCACAGGGCACCGATAGCCAGGATGTTAAAGCAACTGTTCTCTTGGGATACAGTAAGACATTAGAAGACCAAGTAAGAGGCTGAGAGTGTAGCTCCATTGGCAGAATGAGTGTCTAGCATGCATGAGTCCTCAAATGTGATCCTTTTCTTTATGCCTGCATGTGGTGGCCTAAGGCTTCATGAAAGTGGAGAGTGCTGTGGGATGGTCTGTATGTCAAGTGTGTTGCTGATTGGTCAATAAATAAATCACTGATTGGCCAGTGGCTAGGCAGGAAGTATAGGCGGGACAAGGAGGAGAATAAAGCCGGGAAGTGTAAGGCTGAGAGAGAGACACTGCCAGCCGCCACGATGAGAAACAGCATGTGAAGATGCCGGTGAGCCACGAGCCACGTGGCAAGGTATAGATTAATAGAAATGGATTAATTTAAGCTGTAAGAACACTTAGCAAGAAGCCTGCCACGGCCATACAGTTTGTAAGCAATATAAGTCTCTGTGTTTACTTGGTCGGGTCTGAGCGGCTGTGAGACTGGCAGGTGAGAGAGATTGGTCCTTACTGTGGGCCAGGCAGGAACACTCTAGCTACAGGAGATGAGAAGGTGGTATCTTTTGATGCCATCTTGGGATACAGAAGACAAAAATACTATAAGGCATTTAATTGCTTAGCCAAATAGGTGATGTAAAGTGCTATAAGAGTGGACGTTTGATTCCCCCATCCCCACAGGGTTTCTCTGTGTAACCTTGGCTGTTCTGGAACTCCCTCTATAGACAGGTTGGCCTAGAACTCAGAGATCCACCTGCCTAGTGCTGAGATTAAAGACATGCACCACCACCACCCACCTTGACATTGGATTCTTTAATCAAAGGTTACAATGGGTGAATTCAACCTTGAAAAGAAGTCTGGAATCCTAGTTTTGAAGACAATTAGTAACCCCCACCCCAAGAAAAGTTCTCACTGGCCAGCCTGGAACTCGAACATTAAAAGCATAAATCTGCCTTTGGATGAAAGGAGTGGACCACCACTCCCCTACGAACATTGATAGTTCTCAACAGAA